TACATACAAAATTTATACAGCAACTTCTAGAAGTCTTCAAAAAGATTTAGATTTCGTTCCAACACATAAATTTACTTACTTATACCCTAAACAGCCCTCTGTGAGCCTTGGTCTGCCAAACAATATCGTTCCAGACTTTAGCTTTCTACTTACAGTTTTCATCTTCAGTGGTATCGTCCAATCATCTTTTTTGCTGATATTTCTTGGTCCCAAGTTCAAAGGTTTCCAGTTCAAAAGATTTCTTAGATTTCTATTATCATTTAATCTTTCATTGTGCCCCAGCCATGACAAACGTCTGGATTTAGTAAATCGAATTATGTTTTTTGTTTGATTAAATGGTCAAGTTCCCTATTGTTTCTTATCCTTTATTATTTATTTAAAACGGTCCGAAAATGCTTCTCAAAATTTCGAAGATTAATAAGTTAGATTGGTCTTTTTGTAAGAGAGTTTCAGTGCCATACGTAACTGTAGGTCTGATAATTGTTTTATAGATATTCAACTCGATTTCCTTAGTAAGAAGTTTATTCTTGAATAAGTAAAAGCATTTGTTTCCTTTTTGCATTCTGAAGTTGATTTCTTATGAAATATTGCTAGTGTCATTGATAATTGAACCAAGGTAGGGGAAACTTGAAACTCTTTCAAACTTATAGTTATCTACCGCTAGCGCTGATGAAATAGTGGTAGATTTTATTCGTGCTATTAATTTTGTTTTTTGTTCATTGATTACAAGACCTGCTTCATTTGCTGCTTTTATAAGATGATTAGGAAAGGAGCTTCAAAAAACATTTTCTTGCCGAAAAACTTTACAAAAGAACATTCGTTTACAAAAATTCTTAAAAACTTTCGTAATTCCCACAAAAATACTTTCAGCTCAATTTTTCTTTCTCTTTAAAAGCATAATTACAAAAAATTTTAAAAATCGTTCAGGTACCCGACTATCTTTTTTAGATCAATTTTGACTAAATCATCAAATTTCAGTTTATTAGAGCTGAAGTTATGATAATTTAAAAAAAACCATTTCCCCATAGAATAACAAAGCAAGAGAAATGAGTTTTCTGGTTATTTCCTTTATTTTAAAACGTGATATCGTAAAACCTGTAACTCTTTTTTACTTGAAATGGTGAGTATTTATCTTCTAAAGAATAGACTATGCACTAATTGATCAAACTAGCATGTTTTATTTTACATTCTAATTAAAGTAAATATTAATTGCATTTTTGGCCATTTTTATCAAATGCTCTGAGATATTACTTCTAAAATGTTTAAAAATTATTATAATGTCTAATGATTAAAGTAAGTGTTAAGTTTATTAGTGTTAGTGTCGAAGTTCATTGTTAGAAACACTATCAATGAAATATAATTAAAAAAAGAATAGTGATTTGTCTTAAGTTCTTTTTTTCTTCTTTTTTTCCTTCTAAGTCATTTTTTTAAAATAAATTTTGACCTTTTTCAACTTCCAACAAAATTTTTCTACTTTCAATGCATTAATGTTATTTTTTTAGTACATAATGCATTAATATTACTTTTTAGTAAATAAAGCAAAATTAAAAAATTCTAAACTAAACATTTAAAATTTAGTCGCAGAAGGTATTTGGGATACTTAAACATTTTTACACAAAATTCCGCTGTTTTTGGCAAGGAAATTAAAATTTTTAAGAAAAATATAAATTTAATTTAAATATCCTTATATTATTAAATATCCTTATACGTATTATATTATTTTATTATATTTCTTTGAGTCTTTCCGAAGGAAGAAAATTAAAACTTGACCTTTCCTCAATAAAAATGGCTTAATTTTGTACGAAATGCTTCAGAGACTAAAAGGTTTTATTTTTAAGATTTTGTACTGATTTTTTATTATTTGGTATAAAGACAGGGTGTACATAAAATTACGAGAAGTATTTAGAGCTCCTGAACATGCTATCGGATTAGTAAAAAAAAAAAATGACCCGCATACGCAGCAGAGTATGGGACTTTGGGTTTTATTTTTTAGAGAAAAAAAGTTTTAAAAATTATCTATAGGAGCTTATTATTTCCTTATAATTTACTCTGAGCAATAATTCTCAGCGTATTCGCATATGAAGAAAACCGGGAAACCGGAGCCATCCCCTTAACATCATATCAGTAAGCCACTAGAGGTCAAGCTCTGTTATGGCGGGAGTGGCATGGGGTAGGAATGGCCCTACAGACGTGCACGTCTTTCAGGGAGGCACTCTGATTTCTTTGAGGTACAACTTTTAGATACTAGAGCCGTATGTAAGATTGTTCAGTGGTGCTGTTGGTTCCCGTATCATTTTTATGTATGACAATACACTTCGTTGGTTGGCCTAGTTGAAGAATGCCTTAAGATCAAAGATTTTCTGATTTAGATTTTCAGATATTCCGATTTAAAAATATTTTGACCCCCTCTCCCAAATATTTCACACAGCTACATGCCCCACAAAATTTCACTTAATCTGAGCTATATTTTGTGAGTAATAAATGTGTTTCTTAACTTTTGGACATGAGTGTAGTGTATTTAGTATGTCCACGAGATAGTTCAGTATCGTTTTACTAGGATATAATTGAAAACCCATTTGAAGAAAATGCAGCTGAAGTAAGTTTAAATTTACCCCCATAAAAGAAAATTTGTCATGTTATTAAATCAATGTAAGGAACAAATACTCAGATTAATTTATAGGTCTTATTGATTAATTGATTGATCTGAATTGAAGCTGGGGAGGAGTTTTCACAAACATAATGAACTCTCTTTAAAATATTTAAACGATCAGCATCATATCCTGGATTGGATTGAGGTATAATAGGGAATGCGGCTAAATAACTTGAGTCTTTGCCTATACTAAGTTATGTGAAATTTACCTATATTCAGAAAAATGTAAACTTTTTATGATAGTCAATTCCCGTTAAGCATGTTTTACAAAAATTCAAAAAATAATTACATTTAAAATATGATCAATAAGTATCGATGTCAGTAAAAACATCATGCATTAAATTATAAATGTTAAACAGTAGTAAGTACAATAAAGCATACAAATTTTAAAAATCAAAAGAAACAAATTCGAATTTTCCGTTTTGACTGAATTTGCCAACCAAAATAACCCCATTAAACTTTGTATGTTTTGTAGGTGGTTACAGAAAATTATTTTTAAAAAAATCAAACACTCGCGTCTAGGAGCAAACGATAAATAGATAAAATTAGGAAGTTGGAAAAGAAGTAGAAAATTATTCTGGCCCTGATCATATCTCTCTTGTTATAAGTTTCACTATTTGCTCATTTTGCCATATCTCTGAAAGTTCTGAAGCTAATTAAGCGAATCACAAAAATTACTCGTACAATTGTAAAACTCGTTTATCTAAGTATAATTTCGAAGAAAAAAATTTGAATAATGATCTTTAACAAAATTTTATGATCTATTACAAAATTTTACGTTTCAAATTGGGAGGTGTTACAAATTTTTACATAATGATAAATTAAGTAAGTTTGATTGTCAAAATTCAAAATTAAATTAAACAGTTTATGGCGATCGCAACTTTTAAACCAATATGGCGATCGCGACGCTCGAATACGCCATCTGGGGAGAGACCGGTTTCGTGCCTTTGGGCCTTCTCCCTTCCCTCTCCTCCTCTTTTCAGTTGTACTGTATAGAAATGTAAACAATAACAATCTCGAGCTCGGCAACTACTCCAGTTCCGGTTAAAAAGTTTGCAGCTGCTTACTACATGTTATTCTGATAGGCGATGTTTTCAAACGGATAATTTTGTTTTCAATAAAAGAAATAAATTAGAAGATTTCTGGGCTCAAATCTGCCATATTTCATAAGACATTAATGTTAATATGTAATTCTGGTGAGTTTGAAGTGAAAATTTGTTTTAGTTTTGCTTATTTTAGTTTAGTTTATTTTAGTTTTAGTTGTTAAAAAAGTGACATGGTTGCTAGATTTTGAATAACTCGCTTTTTTGGCAGTCTTGATATGGCCTCTTTCTATGAGTTTATTACTGTTTGTTCTTGTTGCAAGCTGTGCACCATCTTACGTTAGTGTTAACACTTTTAGCATTGTAAACACCAGCATTGTTAGCATTGTAAACAGTCCGGCAGTGGACTGATCGTTAAGACACGGTTCCCAGCAGATCACCGAAGTCAAGCATCACTGGCTACGATCAGTGTGCGGGTGGGTGACCACTTGGATCAGTCTGCGTAGGGACCGAGGGTGTGCG